GCGGCCGCCGCGGCGCTCCTCGGACCTGCACATTCCTCTCCTCCCCTCACGCGCGCTCCCTCCTCCCGCTTCCTCTCCTCCACCAGCTGACTCCGAGGGAGAGGATGACCTCATCTCTTCCCTTCCAGCTGCCGCCGCTCCCACCCCGACTCGGGAGGGGCGAGGGAGGAGGAGGGCCCCGGAGGAGGGGCCGGGACCGAGAGGAGCGGCAGTCGGGTGGGGGGACTGGTCTGGTTGGTCCCCCGGGCACGGAGCCACAGCGAGGTGCGAGAGGGAGACGGTCGAAGGCCCCCGGCTCGCGGGATTTTGGAGAACACTGGGTGGATTTGATCGACATCGGGGGAGGGGTAGGAGCCGTGAAGAGTGGAGGGGTCCTCTGGTCCAGCCAGTGCAGAGGACGAAGAGTGGGCACGGACGGGCGTGGCAGTGGCGAGGGGCCAGGAGGTGCAGGCCTCTTTGTATTCCGTTCCAAGCCCTGGCACTTGGGAGACGGGCTAGATGTGGGACTGGAGCTAGCGAGGGTTAAGAGAACAGGTTTAACTCGGATGCTTGGTCCCCAAACGCTGGCAGCCCTAGTTGGCATGTCAGGCTTTGCAGTTTGTAGGAGGATAAAGGCGTGCAGGGACTGAGGAAAGAGCCGGGATTCGCATGAGAGGCGACCGGCAGGCGGGACCTATGGGAACCCCAAGCCCGCGCCCTCGGGGAAAGGAGCGGACAGCGGAGGGCTCTGGGCTTCTCCTGCCAGCGGGACGCTGGGAAGTGAAAAGGCGCTCCGGGATCCGCAGCGCAGACCCAAGCTGCGGGATTCCTGCTGCTGGGAAGCAGTGGAGCCGTCAGGAGCCACCGCCAGGCAGGTGGGAAACGCGCACCCCTGGTGGAAGCTCGGAGCGGCAGGGCAAAGGGGCGCGGCTGGCAACAGCGGGAAACCGGTGTCAGCCCCGCCCCCGGCCCACAGGCAGGGAGTGGCAGAGCTGGAAGCTGGCGCCACCTCCACTACTCCAAAACTAGAATCACCTTGTCTTAAAGCTATAAGGGTGCAGACTAACCATGTGGTCTCACAACTCTAGAAATGACTCAAATTAATGTAATCTGTGATCCGAGCGGTACACCAAATTAGATATTAGAATAACGTGTTACAGTATTTAAAGATGATGAAAACCCCAACAAAATATAGAATCTTTGACTTTTTAAATAATAATAAAATATAGTAGGTTATGAGTTGTCCCTCTTCACTTTTACAAATGGGAAGGAGAGAAGTATGCAATCCTTAAATTATACTGTACCTCACATACTTTAAGACCAGAGGAAACTAAGGTGTTACCCTGCCACTTAGAGAACCAGTTATTCTTTATAGATCAGTAGCATAGCATCCCAAGCCCATCACTCCTTTCCTTGAGGTGGGCGCCAAGTGAGTTGCCTCTAATGCATAATGCCATTCTTAATTAGTAGCATTATGAAGTGAAGTCCATGAATGAGAAATGGTCACTGCAGGGCTGGGGTTGTGGCTCAGTGGTAGAGCATTTGCCTAGCACGTGCAAGGCCCTGGGTTCGATCCTCAGCACCACATAAAAACAAATAAAATAAAGGTATTGTGTCCAACTACAATTAAAAAGTAAACAAAAAAAAGAGAAAAGAAATGATCACTGCATACAACTTGTGCTGTATCTCATCTGCTATTTTGGTGATCAACCTTGACAAAATAGAATTTTTGCTCCACCCTTTATCGTCAAGACTGGTGCCCAGGGCCCAGTCTTCACCTGTCATTCTGATAGAGGGTGTTGGGCCACAAAGCCCATAAATAATTGCATGGAATGTACAAATCCATTATTGCTAGCTAAAGGCAGGGGCAAGTGATTGCTGAGAGACAACACAATACTACTGAGCTACTTAGATGCCAGACAGAAGGTTATATATTTGAATCCAGCTTTAAAATTGGGCCCTCTTGGATTAGGAAAACCATTTTTTTTTTTAAAACACCCTGGTTATATTTCCCCAAGTGTTCAAGTCTAAGATTCCATCTCCAGAGCACTGCCGATGATGATGCTCTGCCAAACCATCAGGGAGATGAATGATCTCTTAGGTAACTGGGTCCACAGAGACAAGAGTGTATTCTAGGTCAAGTGCAATGCCTTAAGTTGCACTAGGCATGGAAAAGTTCAGTACAGCATTGGAGGTGCTGAACATTGCAGCAGATTTGAGAGTTTTCTTGGAGCTGGGATTTTTTTTTTTTATTGTATCTTCTACACCTAGCACAGCACTTGCACAACCTACTTGTTCAATAAACGTTAGTGAAGTGAATGCATGAATTTATAGAAAGAACATTCCATGACAGAAAGAATACTACACTCTGTGCTAACGAATGTTCCCATGGAAACATAGGAATTATGAGACTTTTCCTGTTAGCTTCTAAAAAGAAATAACTAGTAATGGTTTCCTTATTAATACATTGATTCAAAACCTCTTAGAATCTCTTTAAATTTTGTCTGACACGTCTTGGGAAAGTAATGGCTACCTGTAGTGAGTGGAAAGAGTTTACAAGTAGGAGGTCAGAGGACAGATGAGCTTTCCCCTCCAAGCTCTGCTAATTATTGGCCCCCAGGATCCAGGCAAATTACTTAATACATAGGATTAATATGAGGATTAGGCAAGATCATGTATATTACTGGGCTTTGTATACAATATTGTTCTCGAGAGTCTCTAATCCCATAAATCTCATAATCGCATCTCAGAACATAGATGTGAATATTATCTGTTCTATTGTAATCACTGCACCTGTCGAGGCAGATGGACCTAAGGGTTAAAAGCTTGACGTTTGGACGCAGACGGAAGAATTCTTGGGCATGTTATTTAACCTCCCTGCCCCACATATTCATCCTTTGTAGAAACATAGATACTGATGATCTTTAGAATTCAGTAATGGTACCAAGGAATAAACAGAAAGATGCATACAAACTCTTTGTGCCTAGTACACTCAAAACACAACATCGTATTAGTATTCTTCAGTTTCTTTCAGCCACCTCAGGGTTTCTAGCCTATTACTAAACCGTTGTGTTTAACTAGTCAACTTCTAAAACTGGACTCCTCAAAGCAGAGCAACTGAACTATTTGCCTCAGAGTCAGTTACTGTTGAATACAGATACTTGATCTATCAACAATGTGATCTCTTCTCCAATAATCTTCCGCACTATGTCAGAAATGTATTGCCATTGTCATAAACTAAATCCTATCGTTACTCAGCAGCTTTGACTTCTCAGTTTTGAACATCCCACTCTCTGGCAAACCCATTCTCAGTGTTAGGTCCCTTGTATCTGGATTTCACCTCATTTTTGTTCTCCATAACCCCTCCATGTTCCTGCCTTTCTTCTGGCACAGGGTAAATTCTATGCCCAATCACTTTTAGCATGCATCTTCATCTTTGAAGTCCTTCTTATTTGACAAGATAACAATACCACTTAAGCCCGCTCTCCACTCCTTCAGGACAGACTCTGTGTAGAGGTTTTGAGAGGAGAAAGGCAGGGTTATTTCAATCCTACTCTTTTGATCATTAATCTGAAGTGAACCCTAAAGCTGCTCAGCAATACAGCCCATCTTCTTTGTCTCTGTTCCTTCTCATTTGTATTATTTCTTTTCATATTTTCCCTTCTCAAATTTTAAACTCCTCTTTCTCCTATCCTCAGCTGATGACTCTGTTTTTTATTTCCCTAAGGAAAAAAAAAACACTCAGAACAGACTGCACCCAGGCTCTCAGTGTCTTCTCTGCCTGTCTACCAGCATTTGTACTCACCTGCAATTCACTAGCTTCTATCCCCTTCCCCACTCTCTCTCTCTGCTCAGGAGCACAATTCCACACTCATTTCTACAATTGCCATTTTTTTTTTGCTCTACTAGATTATTCTGATCCAAGTACAAACATACTCCTATGTGTCTACTACTTGAAAAATAAAGAAAAACAAATTATAAAACTTTTTATTTCAATTCCCTTTCTAGCCACTACAGAATTTTTCTGAAATTTTTTTATAACAAAATTCCTGTTAGTCAGCTTTCTGATGCTGTGACAAAATGCCTGAGATAATCAACTTATAAACAGGAAAGATTTATTTTGGCTCATGGTTTCAGAGATTTCAGTCCATTGTTGCTTGGCCCTGTTGCCTCTGGACCTGTGATAAGACAGTACATCATGGTAAGAACATGTAGAGGAGGAATCTGCTTACCTCATGGCAGCCAGAAAACAGAAGAAGGGGAAAGGAGAGGTGTGGAGGGATATTGGGACCTCAGCAATATCCTAATATGCCCCTCAAAGAAACACCACCAATGACCTAATTTGCTTCCACTAGGCCCCACCTCTTAAAGGTTAAAAGGATCTCTGCATCATTTAAAGGATCAATTCTTTAACATATAGGTCTTTGGGGACACTTTCCAAACCATAGTATTACTTAACATTTTCTTCCATCCTCTCTCTTGAAAACACCCAAATAAACCAATAACCACTCCTTTCGGATTGTTGTTACTAAGTCACTGGTAGTTCAGCTTTACTAAACATCTCAGTTCTCACCTTACTTAAATTCCTAAAGAGCATTTGACAGTAGACCATTCCCCTCCCAGGGAAAATTCTTCCCCACCACAGACTCTGAGAATTTTCCCCACTTCCAAACCTACTTCTTTACTAATTCTGGGTCCTTTGCTAGTTTTTCTTCATTTCCCTGCCATCAAACAGGCCCAGTCCTCAAACTTTATCACTCTTTCAGTAATT